AATTGCCGCGGTTGACCCTTTGATTTTTAGGGCATTACGGCAAATTGCAAAAGCACCAAGGCAAATTGCCGCGGTCTATTTCAAGCCCTGTGAGTATGTATCCTTAGAGAGTATGAAGCTATTAAAAAAAAGACATTCGACTCAGAGGTTTGACATTATATTTTTATACAAATCTTTTTAATGCTGCGATTGTGTCCTCTATCTTATGTGGACATGTTTATGCTCTTTTTTCAAGTTTCCTAATGTTCTCCCAATTTATAGCTACTGCCTTCATATTTCTTTTAAACAATGAATCAGCTTTTATGACCGCTTTTCAGATAAAAATATTTTGCTGTGAAAAACTTTATGTTTTTCTTAGATAGAAGAACATTTTGCTTTTATTGTAGATACTGCCATCTTCTTGTTCCGCTTTTTTTTCTTTATAATTGCACTTAACTATTTTGATGATTTACTTGTTTTTATTTTCGTTTTTGCCCCAAAGCTTGTGGTTGGAATCAAGAAAGACAGTCAAGCTCAAGGTAAAAAGTACTCTTACACTATTATGTGTACATACTCTTGCATGATTTTTAAGTTTATTTTATCCATGTATTATTAAAGATCTGTGACGTTTGTGTTATTATTTGTTTTTTGTTTTTGTAAGTGTTTTTACGGCGCTCGCAACTGCATAAGGTCATATGAGCCCGCGGGACACATTAAACTTTTTCAGTTGGTAGGAAATTTTGAATTTTTGCACGGGTGGAGGCCGAAGCCTACTCTTATTGATTTCAGACCACCAAGGGATCTTTAATGTGCGCAACTTGCACACGGGCCTTCCGAGATTTTTCGCCCTTGTCCGAGAAGGCTAGGTGTACATCTTTCCTACCAGAAGATCAGGGGTGTGGCTGAAAGAAAGCAGTAAGAAGAAGCCAAGGAGTAGCAGTAGAAAGGCTGTAGAAAGAATCAGGAGCCCAGAGGAGGGGGGCAAAGGAGATGAGGGAGTAGGGGCAGAAAGAGGAGACGAAAGCAGACGACAGAACATTGCTATTATAGAGAGCAGGAAAGGAGGTGAAAGGAGACAAATTTAGAGAAGAAAATGTTTCTGTCACTACACGGATTCGAACCCGGGACCTTTGAATGAGAGGCCAACACCTTAACCTCTAGGCCACAAGAGCCCCCATGTTTTTATTTAAAACATATATGTAATATTTGTGCTAAATATTAGACCTGATGTTTTCACTACAATTTTTTTGTATGCTTTTGTCTTTAAAAGCGTTTCTTTTCTGGTTGCTTGTGTGGCCTGAATTAATAGCAACCAAATTTGATCAATAGAGTAATGTGGAAGAAGATTTGGTTTATAGTGTGGTGATGGACTCGAAAAATTGTTGAAACTCATCTGCACAGTGTGTAATGAATGTTTGTGAATGGTGCTGTGAAAAACAACCTGACTTATGTTGATCAAGAAATAGAAACAGATCCTTACACATTTAATTTGTTTGTTGAGTTATTAGAGTATTAAATAACTTCAACATATTTTAGCTATCAACACTTTGCTGCTGAGTATTTATTATAAAAGTAGTTTCTATCAATTTAAACGATTTATCTTTTGGCTCAAAATTTAACTCCTGACCTTTGTAGTTGATACTGTTGTATTTTGTTACCACTGAGTTGACCAGATGTTTTTATGTCCCAATCAGATCTTGAGGCAGCAACAATGGAAACAGCAGCAACATCCTCAACATCATCATCATTACCATCAATACCATCAACACCCTCACCACCGTCAGCTGGTCCCAGACCGTACCTGGACCTGGAGTCTATCTCTGCAGCTCGTGCACGTGGGTACAGCACAGAGCAAATCTCTGATGCCATCATCACCTTCTTTTACCTGACTTGTGAGTCACTCCTCTATACAGAGCAAATCTCTGATGTCATCATCACCTCTGCTTAACTAAAAGGGTCACCTTCTGTTACCTTACCTTGTTTCTCTTCCAAACAAGAAACTCTTTTTTATGACTGAAGTAATAATACTGAAGGATGCTAGTTAGAGCATTCAGTGCAATTTTTTTTTTTAAAATATTAAATCTCTTGCTATATACTGCAGTTTGTTTCTTTCTGACCACAGTTCTGATATTATAAATTATCTTGTTTTAGGACTGTCAGTTCCCTTACTTTTATGTTCTGTATCATTCAACGTTCATAAGTAACCCAGCTTAGGCCAGTCTTGAGAATGTGTCAGGTGTAGCAGTGTTGCTGAGAAAACCTGTGTGTATCCTAAAAATATTTTATCTTGAAATGTGCCATGTCAGAAACTGAGTTTAATATGAGTGTTTGTGTGTCCAGGCGGCCAGTTCCCCGACTCTCCCCTCCTGCTGGGTCTGCTCAAGGCGGGCACTGACAACCACAAGACGCTCTGTGACAAGACACAGGAAAACCTGGACATCAGGTCGGAGAACCAGGTCATAAAGTCAGAGGTCGAGGTCATTAAGTCAGAGGTGAAGGCAAAGGACACAGAGATCCAGGCCAAGGACACAGAGATCCAGGCCAAGGAGAGAGAACTTCAGCGTCAGAGGTTTGAGCGTCACTGGCGTGAGCTGGCCATGAAGACGGAACTGGAGCAGGTGAGCTACAAACTTTGGTCTTTGTGACTCATCACATTGGTGTTACATTCTGATATGTCTGTACTTCCACATTTGACCTTCATGTCCTCATGACAGTGATGATATGTGTCCCAATGCAGTGGAATCAGGCGCTTGTCAATTTTTGGCCATATGGAGTCATTGGTATCACCTGAAAGCTGATTTATTTGCCTTGCTTCCAATGAAATAAATATCCTTTTATCTTTTATATATTTGCGATTGAAAGAAGTGAGGTCGCCTGGTTTCAGTGGTGAAATTTGCGAGAAAATGGCTGCCAAAGTTTAGTAACTTCAATAGCTAAAGAGTCTTTGAAAACTGAAAAATGACCTGTTTTGTGTCTTTAATCAATGTGTTTCAGTAAAATTCGCATTGAAATGTGTTTTTATATTGATGTAACAGAGGTTAGGCCAAAAAATAAAAATGCGGAAAAATGCCTGTTTTTGTTATTTTGACGAGCGCCTGATTTCACGACGCTGCCTCACATATGTATCTCTCTACAGAAAGATCCTCTTGTTATTGAGTTTTGTGACTTCATTACGGCCACAAATATTTATCGTATTATATTAAAAACATTTGGTCCTGCCGTACATCCTCTATGTATACTAATTGCTTAGGTTAGTGGATTTTCCTCACCAGACAAGTAATCCATACAGTTGAGCACTTATGACAGTGGTTAGTTTCGAAGAGAAGGAAGGCATTATACAAGGAGGAGTCTGTACTCCGAATGGACATGACTCGTGACACTATTCTATAGGAACTCATTCTGGTGTGTTATTTCACTCTCTGAAAGCTGCACCTTTTACTGGTGTGAAATGGATTTATTTATGACCCCTCACCTACATGTAGTGGTAGCACTGTGGTGTGACCTATGTCATAATATGTTGTGACTGAGACTGTTGTCAAACACTTTGGATGTCTGAGTTGCCAAATGTTGTGCTTCTGTATGCTAGGGGTCATGTGAGTGCTGAAGTATCTCTTGGCATGTCACTGTCGTTTTGATTTGGTTTAAAACTTGACTTGGATTCACAAGATGGAGGTTTGACTCACATTGGAGTTTTAGTTTTTATCAACTCTCTTAAAGAGGGATTTTTCTTTGTTTGATTTCCTGACCTTGGAGGAGAGAGGAGGAAAGAAAAGAAGAGATAGTTGGAGTTGAGGAGAGGTCATTCTTTCGTCCGAAAAGCCTATTATTATGTATCTTTATCATTGCCTAAAACTATGTTGATCGGTTGGATTCACTAATTGTGCTTTTTCATGAAGTGAGTATGAATGTAAACCTGTTCAAAATCAGACTTTCAAAATCAGGGTATTTATTATTATTACTTACTACATGTATTAACTCACTTATGACTGGGCCCTTTCACCAGTCACAAGCGTTGAAGACTGGCGTTTTGGGGGGTATTTCAATAAATCACAACAACTCTCAAAATTACCCAATTGTAATTATTTTTTGACACAGTAAAGTAACATTCAAGCTTAATCTAATACAAAAAACTAAAGTTGTCTAAGTCTAATACTTTAATTTGTATGATTTTTTAAAAATTGGCATGAATTTGATTTTCCGAAAAATTTCCAGAGACGTGACAGGTAGAATGAAATTCACTACAACAACAAAAATAAAAGTTCAAAGTGTTCTGGTTTGATTTGTTTCCATGTGCGAGTGTTTGGTGAAAATATAAAAGCTGGTCTGTGCATTGATTCAGACCCATACACTGAATTACATGAGACAGATGTACGGCACGACGTTGTGATTTCGTTGCGCGAAAAACAACACCAGTACTAGTGCTAGATCTAGCCCTAGAACTACGACTCGGGCCGTGTTCGGGTACATATCCAGGATCCTAACTATTAGACACATCATATTCTGAGACACTAGAACTTGTAAAACGTACAGAAATATAGAAAACGGCGAAATTATGTGATTCTTGTTCATGCGACTTCTTCGACCGTTACTACGACGCGACTGTCGGATTACTATCAGCTGTATAGAAAAAAACAAAGCGCGAGTTCCAGTCTGTTCAACCCCAGTTGGGGTCACTGTCCTTCACCTTCAATAACTTAAAAACTACCGGCCCCAGAGATACGAAACGAAGTCTAAGTAGCTCAGGCTTGGCCAAACAAGGATACGAGGTGGGTCTCGCGATCCGTGCGTGATTTGTAGAGCGGAAAAAAAAATCCAAAGTTGGTCAAGCAGGGCTTGTGGGAGCCGTCACGAGCGTCGCGGCGGGGGTCACGCAACTGTTGTATGAACCGTCTGAAGTGAGTTAATAGTCTTAGTTGTCTGTTAGTATTATAATGGTTAAAATAAAGTTGTTCTCACATCTGATCAGGACTTTGAGGATTGCCTTGTTAGTGAGACAATTTCGCGGGCCTTCGGCATATTGTGGTAGGGTGGCCAGTTCCTTTCTACGCCGCCTTTACTTCCGCAACTCGAAGTCAAGTACCCATGACTGCTGAGTGGGCAGGAGGGGGCGAAAAAAATCTGTGTCCGAACCGAGGCTCGAACCGGGACTTTCCACTTCAGAGACGAGCGCACTAACCCCTCCGCACCCTCATAACCCATGACTGCTGAGTGGGCAGGAGGGGGCGAAAAAAATCTGTGTCCGAACCGAGGCTCGAACCGGGACTTTCCACTTCAGAGACGAGCGCACTAACCCCTCCGCACCCTCATTATAATGGTTGCTTCCTTTAAATAAAAAATCCATGAAATGTAAGTAGGGACATTATGGGAGTATATAGTTGCTTTTGTTATAAAAATGGGAACTTATTTGACCCTGTGTATACAAAGCATTGGAGTATACTCCTTTCTTTTATGACATGACAATAAGTGTTTATAAAAAGTTTTTCATCCTTTTTGTATGACTACTCATTTCAGTCCTGTCGTCTTTTTTTTTCACTTTTCACATTTACAGGCCTTAGAAGAGAAAGACCAGTTGATAGTAGAGAAAAACCATGTGATAGAAGAGAATAGACAAGTGATAGAAGAGAAAGACCATGTGATAGAAGAGAAAGACCATGTGATAGAAGAGAAAGACCAGGCTCTCCACACCAAAGATCTACAACTGTCTATGCTGAGACAAGAGTTACAAGAAATGCGGGAACGTCAAAGACCTCAGTCAGCTCCCCTGGACAGGAGTGACTTTGACTCAGAAGGTATATTAGCGGACATGCTGTTCTATTTATAGATTTCATCAAACCTATTTGTTGTCTGCCTTGAGAATAGTATAGTATGGATTTTAAACAACCATTTTAGAACAGTAAGTTAACTGAAAAGGTGAGATCTCTGATTTATCCATCTTAGGCCTGAGCACAAGCCATGAAAATCCTCAATCACAAGTTGAAAAAATGTCCTGTTGAGTGTTTGAATCTGAGTAGCCCCCACTGTAGGCTGCTATTACTTTTTGCAGGAAGACCCAACTGCACCTAAATGAAGTGCAAAATTATCAAGAAAGATGAAACTTTTCAAACAAACAAAGATTTCAGCTTTGGAAATGTTGACCTGCTGACAAGTTTCCTCAAAGCCTATCACATTTTGACACTCTTCATTCATTTCTTTTACCCTCAATTCTGCAAATATGCTTTCTGACTCTGTAACCAAGTGGACCCATTTCTACATTCTGATTGTCTCTACATAATTTCCTTTTATGGCTATCGTTTTTTTCATGTGGACATAATATGCAATATCATGATCACCTTTATACTTTTCCACAGACCGATCTGAGGAACCTGATGTAAGAGAAAACCAGAACAGCAGTCGCAACGAGGACGTAAACCTGGTGACTTGCCAGATGTGTCTTGACGCACCCATGCAGGTCTTGCTTCGTCCGTGTAACCATCTGTGCTGTTGTGCTCTGTGTGTCTCCAAACTGGACGGACGATGCCCCATTTGTCGACGTTTTACCACAGACATGGAGAAAGTCTATGTGTCTTAAATCAGGACTTGTATCTTAGGCGTTTGGCTAATTCTTTTAAAACTAGAAAGTATGTTATGCAAATGTAATGTTGTTTTGATTTATTATGTTATGTTGTTTTTTATAGAAGGCACACATTAGTTGCACTGCCCCAATTGCTACTAAAGGAAAGTGAATAGTCCCAAACAGTAAAGAGTATTGCACAGTGTTTGGCCTCCCTTAAAGCTAGAAATACATGACTTGAGCATAATGCTGGATTTTATTGTGTTCATCTGCATATTTGTAAGGTGCTCAGGTACAATGTGAAGCATACATCTATCATAGTATCTGGTCATCTTTTGATGTGATGTTTTTATCAATGGGGATAATTCCCAACTGTGTGAGCAAAATTGCAAATGGTTTCATTATATAGAGTTGCAAAGTGCTTATGTGGCTTGATATTAATGAGATAAATGAAGTCTTGACAGGGAATGACTGATATAAAAAGTTCTTTTTTGCTGAATACTTGTTGGAGACAATTCATAGAAGCTCTTGATGGGGATAAAGTTTTCTCATATTAAAGCACAAAGCAACTCTCTTCTAAGTCTTTTTGTCTACGTTTTTAAAATTCCTGAGGCAATTCCACATTTACCTTTCAAAGTTTAAATTGTGACACAGTCCTGTTGGTATTTCACCACATCTCTGATATGTCCCTGCTGTGAATGTTCGAGGTAGACACTGTAGATGTCCATGATTTATTGCAGTTCTGCTCAGTTGGTATTGGACTGTAGTGCAGATGACCCTGGCTCATTTCTTCTTGAGCTGTTTTTTAACTTGGATTGTTTAGGGAGTTTTCAAAGCTTTCTACCAAATTGGCTTGGTACTGTTTGAGATAAATGGTTACTTCAGAGGTCCCGCCAATTAAAATTTTGCTTTCTTGAAAGAGGTATTGTATTAAACCCATTCCATGTCATGCTAAAAATTTGCGGATTGTACGGTTTGTCCCTGTATGCAGCTATGATACGTAAAGTGGCTGTAATGTTTTGTGTATTTTCAAGGCATATTTTTAAAAAATCTACTTGAGTCAAGTGTTGATATGTGTGTACATCTATATGAGTGGTTTTCTGATAAGAGTGTATACTGCTGGAGCCAAGACTCTTCTTTGTACTTTCATGAGAACTTGTTATACTTTTTAAAGCAAGCTTGCATTGATGATAATTCATTCTCTTTGACTTTGCAAAATGAATTAATGTATAATTTACTTCTTCTGGTTTTTTCCACTGTCATGTTTTACACCCTGTTCTAAAACTTGTTTAGATCTTTTTTAATAAGTTTATGTTTCTCTGTATCTTTCTTGATGTATACATGTGTTCCATTGTTCATTTCTTCTGTAAATGAAGACACTGCCATATTGACTTATACTGGATATTAAGTCTACACATGAAAGAAATATCTTCAGAATTTGGGTCATTGTATATAATCAACAGCAGAGAGCAGCTTTTGTGACTATTTAAAATGTGCCATTTGTCACACTGGTCTTAGAACTAGCTGTGAATGAGTAAAAATGTTTAAGTTCTACAAATCGTTTGTCTAGTTTTTCTTCCAGTAGCTTAGTTAGCTCCAAGCCTTACACTTACCCGATTCATTAACATTTCTGTTTTGATTAGTCATGCTGACTTTGAAAGTCTTGGGTGAGCTTGCAGGACTCCTTGGGAAACTTGTTTGTTCTTTCAGCATTTTTCCGAGTCAGTGGTGGTCAGGCATATTTACCTTTATGTGAGGGGGAACAGTATAAAATAACATATTTCTGTACATTTGTAACCTACCCTGGGAACTCTGTTTGTTTTTCCCTTTACTTGATGATACATGCTTTTTTCTGAAAGGCAAAATTTTAAAACTGAAAGTTATAAATATTTTTACCTAGGAATGTTCAAACGGGATTGATCTATTAAGACATTATTGTAGCAATATATGGATCTATGCAACTGTGTTTTAATGAACTCTTTATTGGTGTTTAATCAGTTCAGACAAGAGCAAGCATGTGTGTCTTTGGCACATAAAACGTCTGATTTATTTGGAACAGAAATCATTTTTAAAAAATTTATTATCTTGAATTTTAAAAAGCAAATATCTAAATTTCTCTTGAATGCAAAAAGGTTTAACAAAAAATATGTTGCCAAAGTAAGAATCGAAATTAAATCTGATTTTTTAAAATATCTTCGAGGTTTGTGAAATATCTTATTTTGGAGAGAAAAAAAATGAGTTTAGAAAATACTGACTTATGGGGTACAAATGGTTTTCATTTTTAAAAAGTCTTAGTGGATAAGTCTCTTAGGATGTTTTCAGTTCACTGAGAACAAAGAAAATTAAATGTGAGTATCAGTACCAGTGTCACTGGTTATCAAGCATTCTTGGTCATGGGTATGTGCTTCTTTAGGAACTGTAGAATTGTCATTAACAAAGGAAATTTTTGGACAAGAATTTTAGAGTTTAGGGTTCTTTGGATTCAGATAGTTTTTATTGAGGTCATTTTATTTGCGCATTACTTTTTTGTTTGAAAGACATTAATTAGGATTACAAGCATAATTGTCTATATCTGTGCCCAGATTTATGGCTTAAGTTTTTTTATCTTATTTAGCTATAGATGTTTTGTTTTTTCAAGTAATTACATGGAGGTTTTGGACTTCTTATAGCTCAATGGGTTTTTAGTGATGTTGTTGAAAGTTGTTTGGTTGAGAACGTTGCTGCCATTACTATGATATTCCAGATATTTAAGTCTATACAGTGGAAACTTGATATAACAGGGATGGTGCGACCAGAGAATAAGTCCTGTTATATATCACTGTTATATCAGATCCCTCTTAAATCAGAAATGCAAGGGCAGTTGTAGACTAATCCAGCTGTTTTTATTCATGGGTAGTTTCCCTTGCCACAAGTAGCCTACCCACGAACAGGGGTTTTGGCCATATGGCATTACATATGCATTTAGCTAGGCTTAGGGCTAGATCGAAGTTTGCAGCACACTGCAGCCCTCTCTTGCTTGCAGTGACATAGCTTGCGTAGGCTTGCTCCATTACTGCGTTTCTCTCTCTCTCTCTCTCTCTCTCTCTCTCTCTCTCTCTCTCTCTCTCTCTCTCTCTCTCTCTCTCTCTCTCTCTCTCTCTCTCCCTCTCTCTCTCCCTCTCTCTCTCTCTCTCTCTCTCTCTCTCTCTCTCTCTCTCTCTCTCTCTCTCTCTCTCTCTCTCTCTCCTTACTTTTTACACATTGTTAAGGAGCCTTTGTCCCTGCTATAATCTATTCGGCTCCGATGAGGTCCTGTTATTGCCGATAACTTTTAATAGAGACAAAGAGTAGGAAAAAACGTGGATTTTTAGAAGTTCCTGTTATTACTGGAGCCCGTTATTACTGGGCCTGTTATATATGGTTTCCACTGTACTTAATTTGCCTCTCACTGAACTGAGTTTTGTAAAGTTATTCTCATTTCTTTAACTGTTCTTGATTTTACTTTGTTGAAGTCTAATTTTTATATCTATTTCCAATTAAACTTTTACTATGCTTATATTCTTCTTTGTCACACTAAACATCGTTACATTATTCATTTTGCTTCCTTGTCTCCCATATTTTACTTTTGTCACCATCATATCATTTTGATTGATATTTGACCCAAATTGCTTGTGTATGTGTGTGTGGGTGGGGGCATTTATGGGGGGGGGGGGGGTGGGGGGTATTGGGAATAAAGGGAAAGGGGGGGGAATTCTTTTTACAGGATGCAAAGTGCATCTGTCAGGACAAAGGTACATACGTAAATTTCCTGTGAACTGAAACTTTGTGATTCTATTTTGTGATACCATGCTCTTTATATTACACTGTACCCTGGTGATCATTTACTGTTTTCAATCTCTCTGTGCTTGCTGAAATATACCTCAGTGATTTGTTATAGTCACAGTCTCGGGACAAGGAGTGGATTTCCACAAATGCTTTAAATAGCAATAACTGTTTATCATTGTTTGATTAATCGATGATCTTGTTTTATCATTACAAAATGTAATGCGGCAGATTTGAGATATGTACCTCCAAAAACAAAGAAAGATATAAAAGAAGTTTTTTACCATCTAGCATAAGGCTTTTGTCAGAATGAGCATAGATGTGTGTTGCTCTTAGAGTATGTATCTGTATATAACTCCAAAGGTCTAGTATTTAAATTCCTGCATGTGGTTGAATGATGCATTTGATGTAAATGTACATTTTGTCAGCTTTACTTCTCCTTTCATATTGAATTTTAATGAGAGTAATATATATGATTAAAAATGTTTTATGTATACCTGCATGTGTTTTTATGGTCCTGTACAGCCAAGGAAAATTTGCCTCTGGGATAATAAAGTTCTATCTTATCTTATCTTATCTTATCTTATCTTATCTTAAAAAATTGATTTCCTTTGTATTGACTCTGAGAAAAAAGAAAATTGTTTTGGGTGGTTGAAAAGCCAGCTGTAGTAGGTCCTATTTCTTTTCTTACCTTCTGTTGTTTCTGTCTGTCCTCCTTACTTTTTCCCAGCACTAAATGACCCTTACTGTGTTGCTGTGCTTCTCCTTACTCAAATTTTGTCTCAATAATCTTTTAATGTAGCAATATTGCTTACTCGCTATTGTCTTACCGAGTGGTAGCTGTACATATATCTGTTGTTCATTTCTTAGTGATGTTGGTAATAATCACTCTTGACTCTCTGTTTCTCAGCAGAAATGTGCGTGGGTCTGAGAGTGTGTTCATGTATATGCACATATTGTGCGTATGATGGCGATAAAATGTGTGTGTATGAGTATGTATAGGAGTGTATGTGTGTACAGTGGAATCCTGTTATAACGAGAGGGAGGGGACCGGTGCGAAATGTCCGTTATAGCAGGATTCTCGTTTCAAGGGATCCAATAATAAATTCAAGGGAAATAGAAAAGTAGGCCTAATCTATGATTTGGCGTTCTGTTTATTCCTTTTTGTATTTCCCCTGATGATTTGTTCAACATGATCTCAAGGTCTTACTTGATCA